TTTTTTTTTTTTTCTTTCGTGGCTTGCGCGAAGGATGTTGGCTGTGGCTCTGTTTGCTCACGGTGGCCCACAAAACGCGGCGGATTGGCAGCGGTGGCGGTATGGTAGCGGTGGTGGAGCGAGAGGGTCATCGTGCTCGTCGTCGCGGGTTGTGCTCCACGTGGCGGTGAGCGTGCTGCTTGTTCTCTCCGTGACAGCGGCACCATCAAGGGAAAAGCTTCTGTCGTTTGAGCTCTCACCTCCTCCAAGCCCAGAGAAGGCCCCACCGCCAGGCGGTCTCCAGAAGTACTGGTTCTTACTGAACGATGATGATCGCCCCTTCTCAATGGAGCCCAATGGGAACATCCAGCTTGATATATTGTCGCTGGTCTTTGACGTGAATGGATACAGGGAATACATTGAGAACTTCGTGTCACTTTTGGAGAAGGACAATTCTTCTTACTACGCTACATACTTCATGAAGTGGCAACCGCGCCTGAACAATCTCTACGCAGCAATGAAGCTGTCGGGGAACTGCAGCAACAGCATATCACCAGAGTATAACACAAATCTGTCCTCGGTCATAGACGCGGATTTTATGGCGCTGGATGCGAGAGTTATCTTGAAGGTATTTAGCCTTCGTGATTGGCGGAGAATGATGCAAGACGCGCGCACCGGTCAGAACGCTTTGATAGGCGCTGATATACGAAAGCATGATTCGTACAGTGAAACTCCAGAGGACCTTTCTGCTCAGGAAGCGCTGAAAATATGTAGGGTTCCTGCGCTCTACTCAGTGTATCTGGATACAGGTGGCCGAAGACGTTTCCCTGGTATCGTTTGGGGCGGTCAACACCAAACGCATCTCGTTGTCGTGATCGCGCAGTGCAGCCATATTCCCTTGTCATTGGGGGTCGCGTTGCATCTGTCGAATGTTGGTGGGAAAGGAAGCGCTGACTACATATCGGTGGAGTCAGTGTATCTGTTCTTCCTTATTGCCTACATCATGGTGTTTGGGATCATTTTGCTTCTTGTACTTCCATGTGGGCATTCTTTCGTGCCACAGCCTGAGAGAAACCAACCACGCTCTAGTGACGAGGGTGGCATTAGAGTTACCGACCCCAGAGGCGGAGGTAGTAATGCTACATCAAATAGTGGTACAGATGAAAAGCCTGTAAACACTGAGAAACTTGAAAACAATCAACCAAGGCGATCTCGGTTTGATGGTCTGTGGGATGGAGACGAAAGCGAAGAAAGCAGTAAAATGGTTGGAAAGCAAACGTCATGCTTTTGTGGCAATTTATTTCGAACAGTAAGGCGGTTTTGTGGCCAACAACTATTGCTTCTCTACCCTACATTGCAATGGGTTCTATTGGCCTGCATTCTCATCAAAGTGGTTCTGTGTGTACTGCGTCTGACACAGTATAAGCTGGCTGGTGAGTCAGCGATGGCAATACGGAATAGCAGTATTGATATCCTTGTTATTGTGTTGACGGTGTGTACCCGCTCTGCATTTTTTACAATGCAGCAGTTCGTCTGTGTGGGATGGGGGTGCGCGTATGTAAAGCCACCAACAGCGAAGATTGTGTNCTCTGCATTTTTTACAATGCAGCAGTTCGTCTGTGTGGGATGGGGGTGCGCGTATGTAAAGCCACCAACAGCGAAGATTGTGTCTGCCTCGTTAGCCTCCATAACTGCATTTTCTATCTACGTGCTCAGTAGTACTTGTGAGGGAAGCACCACAGTGAAGACATTAACCGTGTTGAACGATGTTGGGCACGTGAATCTCCGCTGTATTTCTATTGGCATGACCATGCATGCGTTGGAGGTGCTGGGCAGTATGCTGAACATTTTCCAACTCACGGCACTCACGGCGACAATTGGTCGCGCTGCCTCAACTGGAATGGCGCAGGGGAAAGCTAGAGTATTCATTGACAAGACGTCCCTTTACCTGCGCTACCGCGGAATGTGTCTGCCGTACACCATTGGCATTCTCATGCCACAAATAGTATATGTTGTCTTCTCCATGACGCTCATGGAATTCGATGACCACTACCTGGAGGTTGGAGTTGAGGAGTTTGTGCAATGGTACGCGGCGGTTTTCTTTCTGTTGTTCCTGCGCAAGGATCCTCTCTATCTATGAGGAGCCGCTGATAAACAAGGAAAGCAAAA